GTTGTTAATCGCCTTACTGCTATGAAGGCCACAGGAAAGTGTGCACCTCTAATCAAAGGTTAACAAGCTCTGACAATTGTTGCTTGAAGTTCAGAAGTCCTTATGACAATATATTAATCCAATTACCTCTCTTCTAAGTCTCTTATTTTTGCCGGCAGTTATAAAGTGACCATTTACATTTTACTTATTCAGAAATAACGACTGATGATTAACAAAAAGCAACTTACGCTTTTTTCTAACACGGCACGAGATGGAAAATCAATTTCTAAGAGGTCTTTCAAGTTTTGTAACAAACTGATTTCTGGATCCCTGCAGGTGGGAGAGAGGGAGAAAAAAGTCAACGCTAGGAATGGCGAATACCATTTCCGTTTCAAACCTGTATTATTAAAGGTGCTTACCATAAGTGCATATTGTTGTTCAGCTTAATTCTCAAAGGGTTGACCGCTGCAAACAACGTATATAAATAATTACATCACCTTTAGGATCCCCTTCGCTCCCCCACCCGGCTCAACCGCTCAGATTTCAGCACTGAAGGGGAAGGCAGGGGTTGGGGGTTTTTAATTATTGAAGGTTCGTACGTCAATGACCGCTCGTGGTTTTTAGTTTTGGGAATCATTACACTAATATTTAAAATATCATACCGCTGAAGACGTGATCGCAGTTACCTTAAGTTGGCAAAAAGCTGTGGGACGCGGAGTAAAAGTCTTAAATGTTTCCAAACACTATCAGGACGTACGTAGTAAATCCCCCCCCCCAAAGAAAATTACATTGAAATACAAACACGCTTGGGTAATCAGCTGTAGGACACAGGGTTCCCTCTAAACTGTGCTAGGAAAGCACTGGAAAAAAGCGTCCCTCAGAGCAAAACAGCACGCGATGGATTGAGGCTGTTAATAACCCCAGCATCTACCGTGTAAAGCTCTCCTACGGACATACTCAGCTTAATTCCTGGCTCTGCTTAAGTAAAGTTTACCCCAGGCCTCCGACGCAGCTTACGCGAGAACCTGCTCACCAGAGATCGGATTCTAGAAGAGAAACAAAGGGCGTACGTCTGCTGCCTTACCGTGATCTGCTCCAAGAAAATAACACTCGGGGAGCATGTCTGGATGCCGGGGATCTACCTCTATGTTCACCGAGACATTGCTCCCTACAATGAGAAAGCAAACAAGTCGTAGGGGAAGCTTTTCTTTGCAGTCAAGTATTTGCAAACGGAAACATCAACTTTTTTTTCTTTTTTTTTTTTTACAAGCAGTTTTAAATTGGTTAATTCAGGCTGGTTTTCATCACTACAAATAATAAAAAAGGTGGTAGGTATCCAAATTAATTGCACAAAATATCAGTATGTATTGAATGTTTAAATTTCAATGGACTGTAATTAAAAATAGCAGCTGATTAAATAAAACTGCCAGTCTTGCATTTCTCATAGACCAGTCTTAAGGTTAACACTTAGACTTCTGAATAATCAAAGTCAAGCTAGATGACATAATCCATTTGAAATCTTGGTGACATTTTAAAGGTAGTAGAGGAATTGTTGTTAATTCCTCCTCATCTTTTACAGTCAAAAAGAGAAGCATAAAGACAATATGAAGCAGTAACAGTCAGGCCCCTCCACAGCGTACTCCTGGACTGAGCGAACAACGGCATCGTTTTGAAAGAGCAGGTCGTCTTCTTTTACAAGATACCCCATCACCCTCATAAGGTCGGCTATTCATAAGGGGTAAGCAGCTCAAAAACATTCTGCATCCAGGTTACAAACCTGACAGCAAATTCTCTTCTAAATAAAAGCAGGTGAAACCCAACATTTTTTGTAGTTACGAGGTATGCGAGGCTTGCCCCCCTTGAAGAAGGTGGAACGAATGAAATCAAAGTTTAGTCGTAACTGAAGGTTGTCTGTGACCGACGGCAAGGGGCTCAAAGCCTCGTGCTGCCCTCCACTGATCTCACGCGAGGCGCTTTTGGAGGCTTTTCTTTCCCCTCCATTGGTCTGTCTCAAAGTACAGCAGAACCGAGACAAAGCCACCCTGACTGCGCACGCACGCACGCACGCGAGGCGCGTTGTCCCACCCACGCCATTTTAGCCGGCTGCTGAACTTTTTGTCCCTCCCGCCGCGCCGGTGAAGGAGCAGCCTCAGCACCCCACGATCCCCTTTCCTGCTCCACTCTGCAGGCAGCCAGTCTTGCCGCAGCTTCCGGGGACAACTTAGGTCTACTCTGGTCCGTTGTTCTATGTTCTCAGATTTCTACAATATGCTATTGATATCTTGGATTTCAGCTAAAAATCAGAACTCTTCTTTCAAAGATAATATTTCCCCCCCGTATTTCTAACCTCTGACAGCGGCAAGCTTCTCCTTTGCAATTACAAAGCTCCTTATCCTATATGTATCCAGACCTTAAAATGCCAGACATCAGCATATGAATTAAGGTACTTTTTCAGATGGTTAACACTGTAAGCCTCTAATTTCCTCTCTTCTCTCATTTCTTTGTCCTTTCCACCTGCCTCTTTTAACCCCTTTTGACTGCACTCTAATATTCCTTTCACTCTTCCAGGACGGGATCAATCTAAAGTAACAGTCTGTTAAAAAATCTGGAATTTGTGAATGAGACGAGGGCTTCATCTAAGCTGATTTTTTACAAATACTGATTTTTCTAGAGATATCGTGCAAGCCCTCAGTTTTTGACAGTTACATGTTCATAATTTACAAATACACAGTATTTTCCTGCAGAAACTTTCCTTTTCTGTAACACCATAACGTTGTAATTAATTTTCTAAACAGGTTCAGTATTCTGCAGAAGGTTTTTTTTTCTCAATACACAAAGCAAGAGAGCGCTGTCTTGCAGGTTTTAAGTGCTACCTTTCATTTTCCTGACTCTAACAAGCACCATCCGAGTTCTACTTCTCAACCCCGCTGCATTCCTTCAAATCTTTTCGTACCTATTGCAATTCTTCTTGTCGTAGCACTCCGTGTGGGATTTTCCGGCTCGAGCACCCATGTCTTCCCATCAATTTCATCCATGGCATCCCAGAATTCTTTCAGCGATTCTAATGCCGCCAGGAACTGATCGTAGACGTCTGTTAAGGAGTTCTGAGAAAAGAAGACATTTAAACAAATTTTATAGAGTTTCCACCTACAGCCATATAGAATATTTCAAAAACAAACTGTAGGTAATTGAGGAACTGTTAAAATCTGGTATGTATCCCACTGTATGTAGCATGGGAGCATAAAACGTTGACCCTCACAGGTTTTTTAGCGGAAACAACAGGAGTGAAGAACAGCTGTATCCCGAGTGCAAATAAGTACGCCAGTCCTGGTAGTTTGAACGTGTCGTGATATAGGCACATCATACCTGGATTTAACAGCGTTTTATACTCCTTTTCAGAAAACTTTTCTGCAAACTGGTAGCGACTATTAATTTGCATTGTAACTTGTAACAAACGACTGTAAAATTAAAGTAAATACCATCAATAACTGCTATTAAACTTCCAGCATTCTGATATTCTGTCTCTACTTCAGCTGAGCAACCCGGCAGCGGTACCAAGTATAAATACACAGAACTACCCACATAACTAAAGTAGCTTATTTATTTTTTAAAGACTCTACGAAACGTAGCCTAACAACGTCATAATTATCTCAAAAGCAAGCGGTATAAAAACAGGTCCTTAACATTCGATTTCAAGCCACGTAAATACGGTAAGAGAAGGAGAAACCATCTCTAACAATCAGAGGATTACACTCAAGGGATTTCAATATTTGAGAGTGGATTAGACGGAATCAGAAAAATCTTTCGTTATACAGGACAACGTAGGGAACGGCAATGCAAAAGAAGTCTTTTGAAAATCACCACCCAGCCCAAAAGAAGTAACTATTTCTACAGGGAAAGACTTCTTCAAGTAGAGAAAACACTCGGCCAGTCCAGTTAACGCCTTTCCAAACGCAGATGCCCAGTGGGTACAAAACATGAATTTAGGGAACCGGTCAGAGGTGAAGAATGCAGGGGGGGGAGAGAGATGAGTTCTCGTCCGAGTTTGGAGCCTGACGTCAGACGGAATCAGTGGAGGAATTGGGAAGTGCCACGAACAGACCAGTAGGAGGATAAGGAGCCGTCAGAACGTGGCTTCGCGGGGAGAGATGAAGCTACGAGAGGAAAACGGTGAAGGTGTCAAGAAACTAGGCCAAGGCGGCAGCGGAGGGAGATCAAGGGTGGGGGGAAGGGTTCTGGAGGTGGACTCTTCCCAGAAAAGAACACGTTTTCACAAATTGCTCGGTAGTGGGAAACTCGAGAGTAGGAAAAAAGGAATCATTTGGGAGCACCAAAGGATATTTTGAAACGGGTTACACAGAACACAACTGAACAACCGAATGCTGAGTAAAGAGCAGGAAGGACAGGAGAGAACTGACAGGACTTCTTCAGTTCGGATAAAGGCATGGTAAAGTACGTTTTGAGAAACAAAAGAAGGTGTGACAAGGGCCAGACGTCAGAGATCTTCTGGCCTGGGAACAAGTTCGCGGGCTCGAAAAGAAAAGGCAAATTAGATGTTTGGTTCTTCTTCTATAAATAGAAAGTATAGAGGTATTTTTCTATAAATAACACAAAACACGCGTAGAACGGTTTCCTTTAATCGTTGGTAATTATCTTCTTCCTTTCTTGCCTGGACAAAAAGAAGCAAATTATATGGACATTCTCAGGTGAAGAAATATGATTTTTACATGTAATAAGTTTTCATATCGAATGCATACATATTTTAGAAAGAAACGGTGTAGCTTAGAAATAAAATGCTAGCTTTTTTCCTGCTGTTATTAAATTATATTAAAGTAGGAAAGCACTTAAGCAGAAAAGTGTGAATACTGCCAATCTCAAAACGTAACGCTTATTATCTTTAAAAGCATTTTGTTACTTTTATACTACCTGAAGTGATATAATAGTGTCAGTCACTTAACCACATCTTAGAGTATAATATCTTCATCTTAAGTACTATTATTTCCAGTATTTTAATAATTTTCACACAGTCCTGAAATGTGATCTTTTGTGCTCTGATGACACTTAAATTAATAGCATAATTTTCTGGTACTTGCAACAGTTGCTTTCCATTTTGATTTTTTACATTTTTCTATATCACATACAGATAAATCCTCTAATAATCATTTTTATCTTCATCTTCCGGGAATTCAAAGGGTTTCACTAGAAAAAAGAAACATCAAGGGATTATAACCCACAGATAAGTTTTAAAATCCAATTAATTTTAATACTAATTGTAATTTTTCAATGAAGTTCCTTAAAAAGGTAGTTAAATCTTTTTTTTTTTTTAACACACTGTTCATTTGATCTTATTTGCATGCTTCATTGATGTTGCCAGCTGTCTCCTGCTATATACCTAAATGCATCTATAGCTATTTAAATATATCACACGCTTGTCATGCAAACCGCAAAAACGATGACATTCCTTTTGATTTGATTAACCAACTAATTTTTGGTCATTGCCCAACATTTTTAGCGAAGACCGCTATCGTGCTTTTTTTTCTCTCTACACTACACCGAGACAGTCGTTAATAACGTCAAACAGCACAAGCTCCTTGTTGCTTTGTCACCTCTGTACCAGTGCATTAGAATTTGTATGAAATATGTCAAATATTCTTTGGAAAATCAGACACTCGTAATTCAGGATATCACCACTGCCTGCCCCGACTCTAAAAACCACTAGCAAAACCAAACTGGTTACTCCGTCCTCCGTATCAGTTAGGTTTCCACCCTCATGAGGCAAAACATCCGGTCTAAAAACAAAGCAGGTTGTGGCAGTTTAATCTTTCACAACAACTTCAAACAAAACGAAGATGTTTTTGATGAATAATATAAACCTCGCGGTTTGTTTCTAACTACTGCGGATACTGACATCAGCTGCCCGCACGAGCAGTAGTGACTAGGTAGCAGAGGTAAGGAAATCCAAGAGTCACAAAACCTCAATGCAGTTTTTTTGCGCAAGCGGGTATCGCGGTCTTTTCTACCGCGATCACATACTACTTCCCCTCCACCCTCGCCAGGGGCTCGCTGACATCTGTGGCCCTGGCTGGAAAGCGATCCCTCTGCAGCTCTGCTCCCTGACGCCCAGGCTGACGGGGCATTATTAAAGGCGGTGCAGAAGGCACTAGCGAGGGTGTGGGTCCAAGCGGAAACATCACGCATGATTCTGACCGGACCTTCTCAAGTAACCAACCATAGCTGGGACGAAGACAGACGTTTCTAAGAGGAGGAATGGAGAGTTCACCGTCAGACAAGGTCAAAAGAGTTTTACTGGTTTAGACTAGCAAAACAGCGTAAGAGGAGATGTGATTACTAACTACGCGATGGTAGCTGTACAAGATCCCTAGAGCTAGGGCTGGTTGAAGGACCCATCGAATGTGAATTTATACAAAATCAGCAGCTGGAGCCGGCTTCCTCTCCATTACAGCACTGAGGTCCTGAGAAAGCCTTACAGTCCCAGGACACCTCATTACTTTCAAGTGGGAGCTTGCTAAGTTTTTGACAGAGATGTGCCGCGTGATTTAATGATCCCGTTCCCTTCAGCTCTCCATAATGACCACCACAGCAACTGAGCAGCCCAAAACCAGTATCGACTTTATCGTCAAAATGCATTTTCAGATTAGATGGTCTTGTTCTGAGTTTTCATAGGGAAAAATAAGAGACTGAGAAAACGTTAGTTTGGAATACTCAGCTTGAGATCCCTTCATCTGGCTGTAAGAGGACTGTTTTTATTAGAGCATCACCTCCCGTGACCATAGTCATAGCTTTAAACACTCAACACTTCTCCATATTTTTCAAATTCCAAGTTGTGAGCGTAGAGAACAAAGAATACAATTAGGGATGGCTTGTGAAAAGGCACTCTAAGCCACTCTCGGCACAAACAGTTTTCGCTCTCAACAAAGCATATATTCAGCCTCAAAGTCCTAGTTGTTCGAGGCTCCATGAGGCAAAACTTGGACATATACTGACCCAAGCTATACCAACACGGTCCTTTGGACCAAACAGCAATTTAATGTTAATTTGGAGGGCCGTGATTCTGTGATCACCCCTATAGAGACAGGGTTAAATTGGTTATTTTACAGGAAAAGAGACACGTAAACGTATCAGCTTTGATGATTCCCCAGCAGTTTTAGAAAAGTTTGACCCAGATGTTGCCTTTGTGCTATCAGACTATGTGTATCTTCCATTCATTTCAACAGCTGGTAGGAGATGAAGCACACGCTTCGGTCAGTGAAAATCAGATATTCTGGACCTATCTGTTTCCGAGGGGAACGTACCTTCTCTTCTACCAGGAAAGAGTCTCATGTAGTTTTGCACCATTTTTGTTTCCATTTCTACCCTCTGCACTCTCATCTCCATCTCGTCACGGGTAGCTCCTCAGGCCAATTCTTTCCTTTTTTTACTTTATTCCAACTCAAACACTTTCCCAAGTTCACCCCTATTGCCCATATGCGGTTTCCTTCAATTAAAGGAATAAGAAGGAATGGAAAAAAAGTCACTCCGCTCTTGGTTCTTATTTCTGGAGCCATAGAGGCTGGGAAGAATAAAGAGAAAGCCTTGAGTCTGCGCCTGCCATAAAATCCACGAAGGCTTTCGGTAACTTTTAAGAAGTGCTGTATGCCTGCCTATATGGCTATTCTGCCAAATTTCAAACACCTGCTCCAAATCCTGGATGAACTAAATATTAATCAAATGGTAGTAAGAATGTTCTCGTTAAGGTAAATACGGCACAATTTATTAAAATTTAATTTTTTAAAGATAAAAACGTGATCTTTATTCTGAGATTTTTTTTGGCTAAAATTCTTCCTAACACAAAACCTGCTTATCTAAAATTAAAACAACTGCAAAGCCTCCTAATGGAAAAGGTAAAGCAGCCTAAACTATAGCTGCTGCTACCTGCTTGCCCTTTACGAATTCATAGAGAGAATACAATTTAATAAAGCGAACAGCTGTTGGATGGAAAAGGGATCACCTGTATCACCTAAATAATTTATGATTCTTTAGGTTTGTTTGGAAACGGTTTATTTCTCACAAACAGTAGTTTAACAATTTTCCCCCTCCTTAGCACCAATCAAACCAAGACACAACACTCTGAAATCTTTATAAAGTGTCTCGTCAACCATCTCCATTTTTCGTATTTACAGATGCATATCAAGCTGGCGTCTGCAAAGTTCCTTCGCTAAGGAAAAGCACGATTATGATGCATTTTGTTGTGTCTTCATCAAAATAACCGAAGAATAAGCTCATTCATACCACTATACCTTCTGAATCTTGTATTACTGTTTCATTGTTGGCTGGCTGCATGACCCCATTAGTCATTAATTTCCACTCTCATGACCTTCATGTAGCCAAGCAGGTGGGCAGTGGTCAGTATAGAAACAATACCCTGATGTGAGGGCAGCAGAATATAGATGCGCCGAAACTGCAGAACCGTGCTTACAGCGTATGCTAAAACGTGGAGACGGCACATTTATCTGGTTATTTCGAAAAAGAACATAACTGAAATAAGTAGATGTTCTTGCACTTGTCATTGAGAAGCACTCTGCATTTATTTGGCACTTATAACAGCAGCAGCAGCAGCATTGCCCTTGGTGCTGATTTCTTACTACTCTAAAATGTCTCCTCTGAGCCAGAATACACTGGCTGTTGCTGATCATGCTGTGAGACACCTGCACTGGCTACTAGGCTTGTCATGACGCACAAAACCCTACCATCTTCAGCTTGACATTGTGCAAGTTATAATTATTCATCCAAATGAATATGTCAGAGCAGCAGCAGCAGACCTCTCATCAGAGCAAAAGAAAAATACATCAAAACATTATCAACCCAGCAGGAAGACAGGGACCATAAGGAAAATTACCCATTTTTAATATGGATGCCATAAAGCCACGTCTATTATTATACGGCCAACAACCCCTCAAGTTTAAAGTCCACAAACCTCAAACAGGCAACGGCACACGCAGGGGGGTGGGGGTGGGGAAAATCAATCACCTGAAATCTATTTGTTTTCTTTCATAGGACTTTATATTCTAATAGCGCAATTGCATAATTGCCTTGACAGTTTTTACATTAAAGATGACCAACAAATATTAAAATTTAAGACCTAGCAGTATCAAAACTTCGTGTTATTTTACTACAAAATAGGCATAGCATGTTCTTCTTCCCTTTTAGGAACCAAAATTTTCAACCACTTGAGGACCCGCTAAATTCTGCGACCAGTGGTGTTTCAGCATTATCTAAGCTTAACCCTTATTTTACCACGGCGCGAAGACTGCCCACTGCAACGATTTCCATGCATTTTGAAAATGTGTGTAGTAATTGCATAAATTGTGGGGAAGGTTTTTTAAGGTCTCAAAATGATTTTGCTGTGCGTGACTAACACTCATGATTTCAAAACAGGGTCTTCAGTTACATACAAACATCTATTGTTCGTGTTTTCAAATAGGCCATAGGTAATTCTAACTGCAAAAAGATTTTAAGACCTCAAGCATTAGAATGCCGTATTTTTAACATTCGATTTTTACTTGGTTGTAGTGTCAATATTAATATATTCGCTCCCATCTTTAACTTGTCAAAGAAGGCTGCTTCATATCATGTTTTTCAAGAACATTTTATTAAAACGAAAGTCCAGCTAGTACCTTTAAAATTACTAACAATAAACACAGAGAAGCAATGACTGTCAAGGATATTTGAAATGTTGTTAATTTGAGGCAACATAAATTGCAAGGTTGTAAAATTCATAAAATACTATTAAAAGTACGTATAAAGTTTGAGGTTAGAAACAGTACTTGAAGTCCTGCCTGTAGTACATGGAATCCAGTATAATTTAAGGGAAAAACAATATCTTTTTAAATGGTTCCAAACCATACCAGAGAATCAAAACCTAACATTGCATGTGAAACTAAATATATCTTTCATTTGCAATGGTCCGTTCTTGCAGTTATTTCCTCAAGCTCTTGTATTAGAGGATCTGAGGTGACACACAGAACCTTGAGCTTTGCAGCCAAAATTATATGCCCATTTTAAAATCATTCTGATGCAACCTTTCAGTCGTGTTCCCTATGTAAATTTGGTACCATAAAGACAGGCTTTACTGATGGGTAGAAATCCTCGCGAGAATTAGAATTATGAAACGCAATCATTTATGTAAAATCTATTTTCCTGAATTAAATGAAATGAAACATCAACTCTTTTCTAGAGATATTTCAAATTAACTTACACCTAAGTGGTCACATTTAAATCCATTTAATCAAGTACACATGCTCTATTAAGGAAAAAAGATACATGAAATAATGCAAGAGAGACTAAAAAAAAGACAATGGCTCTTAGTTCTTTATAGTAACAATATCCGTTAAACTATGAAATCAGAACTCTATTAAGTACTTTCCTGTTGTTCTTTTGATTGTAACTGAAAAAGTTTTATTATGTTATGAAACTATATCAGATAACAAACTGGGGGACTGCCTTTTTTTTAATGTCTGTCAACTTTAGAGGGTGCTTCTTTTCTAGAAGGCAACCGTTTCTCGTGCGTGGATTTCCCCAGTATCATTCCTAAACGTATTTCAGCCATAAGAACAGCTTAAGAAAAAAAACAGCCAGTACGAGTGCAAGGCATACAACATGCGAGGTGTATCTGCATGGCAAGGAAAATATTGAAAACGCTCCCTTAAGGAATATGGAGGTCAGTGTTATTACATTTACATAAGCATGTATAAAAGTAAAATGCACACAGGGAAAAAAGCTGGAGTTAAAAAAAAGAAAGTCCAACCCCTCATTACAACCTACACATTGCATATGTATCTCAGTTATTAATAAAAGATGCGTAGTACTGCAGTTTACCTGTGGCATCCAAGAAATAGCAAACTGAACAGGAAAATCCACGAGGCAATCCGGTGGTTCTGTTGGATACTGAGGGAGGGAAAGAAAATACAGTTTTTATTTTCTTTTTTTTTTTTTCCCAAGTGATTTAAAGTCAGACTGATACTCAGCTGCCAAATTTGATAACGAAATATGAGCACTTCAAGCATCTTGAGAACTTGGCTCTTAGAGGAAACAGTATGTAAAGCATTTTCAGAAATAGTTATGAATGTTAATTATCATTTAAAGAAGAAATCTACATGTAAACAGTTTTTATATATCAGTTTTTAGTAAAGGCAGGAGAACCACAGTTTTCTGTGCTCAGTGTTCACAAAGACACATTAAAAAAGAACCTAAGATAAAAACCATCAAATATTTAAAAAAAAATTCTCCTCAATTACCTGTACTGGATAGGAAAGTTTAAAAAAAACAAACAAACAAAAACCCAAACAACCCTTTCATGAATCAAGAACTAATTTTCATTTAAACTAGAATATTTGCTCATTTGGCAACATTTTTTGTTTTGAAACTGAAAGTAATCAGAGTAAGTATGTAGCTGTTTAGAAAGAGATGAATGAACATACACCCAAAATTAAAACAACTCCCCACCCAAAATTAAAAGGTATCAACAAGAAAAAATAGTTATATTAAGAAAACTGAAGCTATAAAAAGTTTGATAACTCCAAAAATAACCACTGACTATTCATTACACTGGTAAATCTATCGCTGTTCAGCATCCTATATGACATCTGTGGAAAAAAACTGGTATTTTCTGAAAAATAAAGTGGTGAAGGAAAGAAACATCTAATTACAAATCAACTGTGTCCTTTCTGACAGCACCAATCCAAAATTCTCTTCACCCGAGAAGTTGCCTCCTTTAGTCCTGTGCAACCTTTCAAATTCTACCCATGATGTACACGGCAGTTTTCTAGAAATTGTATTAGTATTGCATCAACTGCCAACACAAGAAAACGTTACAGAGAATCTTATTTGGGGAGACATATGAACAAAAGTCCCAGCTTCCTCACAGAATTAAAGAGAGTTAAGACAAAGAGGCGAAGTTTAGCTGTGCTGCTTCCCATAGCCGTTCTCCACCCAAAGTAAACCTCAAATAAGGACAGTGTCTCTGTCTAATCAGACACCTGGCATCGAGTTATCAGATCTTTTCAAACGTCTCTGTTATATGTAAAATGTAATTCTACAGTAATTAAGTTTCCAATTGTTCTCTGTGGCAAAGAGCAAAAAAGAGACATAGCTTCCCTAGAGCACCCATTCTTCATTGCTTTGCTTTTAATAACAATCTAGTGGATTTATGGATTTCACAGAAATTTCTTTAAACTTGCTTTTTAATTCACCTTCATTTGTGGTTTGTGTTAGGTATCCACACTTTCCGAAGGCAACTCCTACAACTTGAATATCTTGGGCTTTACCATTTTACCAAATTGGCGGCAGACAAGTTAACTAACAATGACAGAGCAAGAGAAGCGGCACAACTCCTTTGGACAGGAGGCGGTGACAACTTAGAAAATGTATATCCATAAAGGCTGATACAGCTTCTTTCATTGTAGTGTTGCTGTTCTTGTATTGTAGGCATCGTGAGGTTAGTGGCTTTCTACTATAGATATTATTTTTCATTAAATACTTCAATGCTTGCATAGGAATAAACTTGTTTTCAATGTATGAAAGTATGCCTAGACCGAACTAAGTTGAACAATTTTTCCGTAGGATTGGGTTTAAGACTACCTCATTTAAATCCCAGCAGCGCTAGCCAGTTATGCGTTTACTTTCTTGGTAAGTAAATTCATTTTATGCAGTCTTTTGTAGGGTGCCTTTGAACAAGTGCTTGCAAACAGATTCTACTAACTTGCCATTACTTAAAAAAAACCCAAACCAAAAAAGCTACAGCACTTTTTCCCTGCATTTTTAGTAAAATTTTCTTTAAGAGCACAATATTGTACTGTGCACCAGGTCATTGCCAAGAACTATGCAACAACGATTCTGTACGTATGCACATAATGTTTTTAGACCTTGCAGAGTGAAATCCTGTATAAAATAAGGTGGGTGATTCCCCAGGAGACAGTGTTTTAAAATACTATAGCAAAGCATATCAATGACCTCATATGTTATTAGTGACATTCAAATGTAGATGTCAGAAATCATCCTATTATTCTTTAGAACAATTTAAGCAATTATTAAACAAAATACTTATATTGTATTTTTAAGCACACAGCTAACTTTATCTAGAAAAAGTATTTTCTTAACCCTTGTCAAATCATTCAGATAATTACCAAAGCATCTTGATTACTACATGGCATGCAAATTCTTGCGGTGGCCTATTTGAATTCTTGGGATCTGAAATGGCAAACACCCAACCCACTTCTCACGCAATACAAAATGAAATCTGATAAATAAAACCCAGCGTATTTGGTTTTATACTTGCAAAGATGCATGCTTTGTTTACTGAAAACTTCTCCAGTCATTTATTTAAATTGTGAATGGATAAAGACTTCTGGACCAGGCATTTTCAACCAAATAAATCAGAAAACTATTTCACAAAATGTAATCTGAGTATTAAACAACATATCCTCTTCTGAGGTTTAAGCCTAATCATTTACAAAAGTCAAAATCGCGTAGCACGTGATTTGGCTAACATACCTAACTATATGACATGACCGTTCACAATTCTTCCAGGTTTAAACTGATTGCCCCAAGTTTCCTAGACGCTTTACAAATGCGGTTTATAGAGAGCAAGTGTTTTGAAAGGACAGTTCCTAACACAAAGCACACTAAGACAAGGGTAACAGGTGGAAATATTTGACAATGCATTAAGGAAAAGTCCTCAAAACACATCCAAACCGTTAAGAATGACAGCAAAGGAATATTTAGGGGATTATCTCAATACATGTGATAACCTTATGAAAAAGAGCTTCCTAAACCACTTATTGAAGACTTTCTTCCTGAAAACGTTGTTGGCAGGCTTATAAACTCATTTCACTGTATGGCATCCAGGAGGACAAGGCTGAACAAACCCATCTGCCAGAATACAGACAAGAGCCAGCAATATATGCCGGGGAGGAGAGGTTTAGCTCACATACTAACCTTAATCAAAGAAACAGCGTAACAAAAATAAGCATACTTTTATTAAAGCAGGTTATCAAAAGAAACCCCTTCAAAAAATACTTCAGCCAAGTCTTTTCAAATGTATTAGATACGTACATGAAGGAAAATCAAATCCCCATGTCACCAAAACCACGTTTCACATATACATTTTCTCTGGTGGCAAGTTTAAATGCCAGACATGGCTTAAAAAGGACAAGCAATTGATCCTTCACCATAACAATCATGGTGGGGGGTTAGGAAAAAAAAGATTGATGATTACTTGTTACAACAGACAGGCTGGATAATCTAGTCTCTTTATTACACTATATCCTTAGTTGTTAGACGGTGCTTTCTTCTGCTATTAGGAGTCTCAGGTTCAGATATTCTATTACAATGAAAATAATACACAAGTTTTTACAAGAACAGAAAACAGCAAGCTCCATTCCCCTTACAGGACAGTGGTAAGTTAAGGCTAAACAGAACCAGCCAACGCATAAGTGTAATAGTGTTTCACCATGGCAGCTGCTTATTAAAAAAGGGTATATCACACTGTATTTTTTTCCCTGCACTTTTATACTTCCAAATAGTTAAAATACTTTACTTCAGTCGCATAAAGTCAAGAAAAAACTTAGGGGCAACAGGCTGCACTTAACTTCTAGTGTCGTACTAAATATGGGATAGCAGCTCCCTTATAAACAGTGACAATACGGTCTGGTTACTCTCCTTGCATGTTAAATAGACCATAATTGTACTTCCGGATGTATTTTTTTCCATCAATGTATTTCATAATGGACTGACTAGCAAATTAATCATGCATTCGTTACTCTGTGCGTGTAGGATAGTTATACTCTTTTTTTTTTTTTTAAATCCACTTTAGCAACCTCAATTCCCAAACAGTACTTTTTACACAGGCTCCTTTTTCCCCTCTAAGGTAAAATTAGCTTGTCTTACTAAAAAACTCCTGCTATATAAAGGAATATAGGAGGTCTGTGAAGATGAAATTTCATCTTACAATACCATGCCCACTCCTCATCCCTTCAAGATTACTCCAGATGATGGACCAAGGATAGTCCCAAACAACAACGTTTGGACACTTCCGGATCCACTTTTTCCCCTAGACTAATTTTCTGAAGACAACAGCTATTACCATACAATTGTCACCATGCAGCCTGAATATTCATCGTTTCTGATAAGAGATTTATGCCTTGAAATGAGAAATTCTGTGAATAAACACTGCAATTTGAGTTCAGTTCTAAGTACCAGGAAGAATTAACGTTTTTCTGCTTCCACACAAGACCATGGATTTGCTTTGCAAGCACTGTCAAAACCAGCCAACTATTTAGACTAAAGAGAAATTTTTTTTTTAACACAAGGAACTCACTTCTGTAGTCAGTTTTTCATAAATCTTTGTATCTACAGTTTTACCCGTAAGACTTCCTAAAGAAGCAACCCAACATCCTCTAATTCTTGTTATATGCACAGTCTCTGGATGGAGTGATAATGAATGAAAGTCTCCCAGACGGCTTTGTCTGTAATCCAGTAAAATAGTTGCAATATCATAAAGTGTTTTTCATGTGATGCAGTTTCATATGAAAAGATCCTTACAGATAACCATAATGCAGTATTAATTTTAAATATAGTTAAAGTCTGAAAACTCTACTTTATGCAAAAAAAAATTCTCAATGCCCCCCCCCATTATCTTGCAGAACAGCCATGCTAACAAACAAAGCAACGCTCTAAAAACCTTATGAATTAAGAAAAATCCATTTATTTCAAGGAAGCCTTAAAATATTTTCTCCCACATAAATTCACCTTTGCGTTTAACTTCAGCGTGATGAGATGCTGTCGACCACAAGAGTCTTCAGCTTTTAGCTTGATTGTGGTAAGACCAGTATCCACATATGCGACTCTGAAAGAGAAAAGAAAACTCTAACAGCATTGTAAGAAGTACAGTTTGAAATGTCTGCAATACTTTTATTAGTCTGTTACAATTATTAATCAGAGGAAGTCCTATATGCCAACCATTTCTGCTGTTCTAGATTTACTGCTGTTAATACACCAGTCTACTGCTTAATGCAGTCATATATCTTTGGGTTATTTACAATGTGTGTCAAGGCTCATGCTGTGGTCAGTGAGCACTGTGTTTCAGTTTTCCATCACTGGAACCTTTGACACACACAGCATGTTCCTGTCAGCCTCTACTTATGTACACATTAAACTTCCTGTCAAATCTTTGATCCATTTCTGCAGTTTCTTACTGTATGAGACTTTTATGCTCTTGATTTGCTTTTCTCTTCAATGAAGTTCTCTTTTATTATCAATACTATTATTGTGGAAAATTCCGTGGATATTGGTTCATATTCTGAAATTGATTTTCTGCAGAAAATAGTACCCAAACAGGTACAAAATGAGTTATTTATGATTATTTGCCTTCGTTTCATGACAGTTTTACACAGTCTACATGCACCCAAGCAAGTAGCAAGTACATACTAAATGCAAATAAGTTTTAAAACTTCTGACATAATCACTGACTCTTTGCTTAAGATGTCACTGATTTGTGCTTCCCGCAACAATGAAGACGAATACAATTGTAAAATACATTGTTCTGTACAGCTGCCAAAAAGGTTCAGACTTCTCCGTATATTTACCAGTGAACTGGGTGTGTGGATATTGTGGCATTTTTACTATGTCATTCTCGTGTAAAGATAAAAAGCAGTCCAAGATTACCGTACAACTTATCACCCAGGCTGATGGAAAGGCCTATCAGAGGTCAAAGAAAGCATCTGCTTGCTGGCCTAAGTAACTTTTTTTTTTTTTAAAGCCATTCCATACTAGCCCAGTCACTCGAGCCAGCATGCTGGGAAAAATGGTTCTCTTTCAAGCCAAACTGGCAACAGAGTTGTAGAAGCCTGTACGAGAAAAAGTAGACATACACCAAAGGCTGTGCACATTCCTAGGCAGGAAGTGAAAAGAAGAAAAGAAAATGATCTACATAAATGACATAGCCTCAATACGAGGGAACTGAAAAATACAGATGGAAAAAGCAGTAGTGGTAGTAAGTAGGGAAGGAAATATATTACTTCATGTTTAATGCCGATTAACTTTAATGCAATATTAAATAGTCCTACAGATTCCTGGGAGTATTTTGACACTCCTTTTCTCCACAACAGCTGAAAGAAATAAATCTTGATAAAAGTGGATTTCAACTGTAGTCAATTAAACTCGATTTATTTAGAAAGAATTAGAGCATTCTTCCTCTAATTGGAAAATCATTACTCCTGCTTTGTTCCAACTTTACCTCAAAATTGTATCACAAAGTTTAATAAAGATAAGAAACTACCTGTATCCCACCCCTCCATCTACTGTTGCCTGGGGTGGGGAAATCCTAAACCAGCAGCTAAGGCACAGAAGGGTTACTGCAATAAAAGACATATCAGTGTTCAAACCAGAGCACAACTGGTGCCTGCATCAATGCACTTTGAGGTTAGACAGCAAAAGAGAACGGCAAAATTAAAGGGATGCTGTCAAGGTGTTTACGATTTAAAATTATTTGTTCTCACAGTCATCCTGTTTGGACCACTTCACTCTTGAGGTGCCAGAAAGGTATGGATTATTTTAGTTTAAAATAAAACATTTTTTACAGTTCCTTACTCTATATTGGGTGGGAGGGAACAAGACTAAAAAATTATTTTTATTTCTTAGATAGCAATGGACATCTAGATCTTAAAATTTTTTTCCGAAATCCTTACGGGTTCAGTACTTTTACAATTAGTTTGACAACCTGACAGCCTCTAAAATAAACATATATACATGTGTGCCTATTTATATATTTAAAATATAAATATATGCACAACATTGTGTTAAAAATATAGTGACAATATGATTATGTTCAATCATATTTGTAAAGAACCTTCACATTCAGTTTTATTGACAGTGTAAATTAGACAAACTTTAAAAAAAAAAGAAGGTAAGCATTTGGAAAAGGTGCTAGGAGCACCAATAATGGCTACCCATTTAATTATGTATAGAGGGATACATCGTAAAATGATTTTCAAGTTCTGTCAGTTATTCAATTTTTATCATGTTTCTAGTTTAAGAATTCATATTTAAAGTATCTTTTAAAATCAGTTCAAAATGTTGAGTTGGAGATAACAGAAAAAAACTAAAAAAAATGTAGATTTTGTAAAAAAAATGTCATCACCGCTATGAAGTGCCACTACAATCCAGGCAACTATTCAAGCTAAGCAACACACCACCTTTTAAGTATTGTTCATTACAAACCACGTACTCGAAGGTTTTCTAGTAAAATATTCTCTTCCCTTTCAAACTTTTTCACAAACAGGACCACCGAGGAATAAAAACCTCCTCAGACAAGGGGCATACAGGGTTGAAAAAAGCCCAGATTGAAAATTCATAGCTAGCCTTCCTTCTTCTCAAAAGAATGTAAAAACAGTAAACTGCCTCCGGGGAATGAAGGAGGATTCAATTTTCCATTTAGGATAGAAAAAAGGAACTCAGTAGCTTTGTGGCTACCTGTTCTGTAACATCACTCTACATTCTTTGGATAAGAAGAGATGAAAGGGTCAGTTCCATAGGACTGGACAACGCTGTAAAAGTCGTATGAGCTTCCTCATACAATTGTATACTCAAATAAGGGATTGTTTACATAGGTGATATTTCAGTTATATAAAGCTTTATTCCTCTGTTAGGCTCCATCATTTTATCACATAGAAAAAAAATGGAATGACCACAAAGATGGAAAGCCTCAGTCAAATCTCTGAAGCACTGTAATGCAGCATAACACGTGAATGATTGAGAGCACACGACAAGGCCAGATTCCCTTGGAAATGGAGAAGGCAAGAGGAGAAGATACTTTCTACGAAAAAGCTTGGCAAGTATCAAGCAGAAACGCATCGAGACTTGAGAGATCACGACTCACACCATGGACTTAAGAGATACTAGCAACCTTTATGAATCCACATGAGGGTGATAAGAGTCCTACAAATGTTTTATAGTCAATAATTTACCTTCCCAAGACATTGTCATTGAATCAACTAGCGAGATTATGAGATAGTATTAGAAGAGCCTTTCCTATAGCTTAATACTACTACACGTGTGCTCTCTCCCACCTCAGCTGATTAGGTTTGTGCTGGTATTTTTCCATGTTCTTAAAATGAAGGAAGTATCCTCCTTCGAACTCCTCAGCTGTTAGGATAGCACTTAGCGTTGGAAATTTGGTACAATTTTATAACCTGTTGAACTGTGACTTTTGTGTACAAGTATTTGAATATGAAGGCATATTCACCCTCCTCCACACCTAAATTAGGTCAAAGAATCAAGTTTTCTGTATCACAGAGAAAGTGATTGTATCTAATCACAGCAGCCTGCCCATTTGCAATCCTCATTACCGTTTGTACTTCCAGTGGTTTAGGACGAAAGAGGTGCAATATCACTGCAGATAACATCTTCAATTTGTTTCTGAGAAACTTCACATATTCTGTAGATAAAAGCCCTTAGAACGCACTAAATTTGTGCCATACCTGAGAGCTTCTTAACTCACTTCAGAGGTAAAGGAACCACAGCCTATTGCTTTGATTCTCTTTCAAACAAAACATCCTCCAGTTTTGCAGTTGGATTTGGATGCAGTCAGCTTCCAGCATGACCCAAAACTCACTAGGAAAAAAAGTAAGTCTAGGGTCCACAACAAGCCAGTTCTTTTCTAAGAAAAATCCTGACAAATAAAGCTGGAGGCTTCTCAAGGCGTGAGCAGTGATTGATCCTTACTGCCAGTACTAAATGCAGGCTTAGTTTTGTGCTGAAAGACCATACCAGGATGTTTTGAACTAACATGCAAATACGCATCACCTGCAACTCAAAATCAGTCTAGGTTAAGAGGCCTTCTTAGTAGTTCATTTTAGTGTGCTTTTAACAATATAATTAGAGGTGTAGCTTACTAATGTACTTCAAATCGCCTCTTTAGGTTATTCTCCTTCCAATTCACAGTAAACCAGATATGATCTCCTATGTACAGCCTAGCCCTTTGATTAATGATTGACTTCCCCAACCAAAAAAACCCAATCAAATAGAGACCTTATCTGTAACATAAGTCAATCAAGAGGTGTATGTTTACTGAGTTACATGACTACACTGGACAAAAGCACAGCATAAGTTGTGTGTCTACATGAAGACCATCTTTGCCTAGAAACCAGGTCAAATTCTGCCCTAGAAGCATGCTCTCTGATAAAACACTGATGTGCTTTTTAATATAAACCACTGGATGTTTTGTATGTACAGCGGGTCAGAAGAAGTATCAGGTTTGAGATAAGCTACTAAATTGTATTTTCAAAGTGTATTTTTAGTATACTTAGCTACATACTATATTTATATATGAAATTATAAATATAGTATATTTTACATACTTATTTCTTTAAAGTATATTTATTGTATGTCAGTGTCTGTTTTGCTGGCATGGGCTTTTTGAAGTGGGGTTTGTTTTTCTGTTTTTTTCCATTTTGGGAGAGCAGGTGTGATTCAAAATTTACTTCCCATGTGTTTAGGAAATTATAACTAATATTCTCAGATCCGAGTCTGAGAAATTTGAATAGAGTATGTCATCAGCTGGCACAACTACATACTTAACAATGGAAATCACTGAAAAAACTTCAGCTGATTTAACAAGGATGTTTTAAATCTTTAAATAAATGTGGGCCTTCAAAGCAAATTCCTACTTAATGTTAATCACATGTTATTTACTTATATACAAATCAGGTGAGAAAACTCAAAACTATTCTTAAACCCAAGGCTTCTTTATTTGATCCAGCAAAATAAACACTTGTTAAAGTTAACTTACTATCCAAGACTAAGGTAAAAGTAGATTTGTCTTCTTGAAAACCGCAAATGTAGACTTTTTTTTTTAACTTTCATTTTACTGAAACTAAAAATTAACTTCTTATTCAAAACTCTTCAACATCCTACAATATAGGGTCTAGGGTCCACAACAAGCCAGTTCTTTTCTAAGAAAAATCCTGACAAATAAAGCTGACAAATCTTTTGTCTTAACCCCCCCAAAAGAAGGCACTGAGAGATTAATTGCACATTATTAAAGACAGCCTTCAAATATATTTCCTTAATGCCTCCCTACACAGAACCAACTACCTTCTTCAACACCATAGAGGTCTCCTGGAGGTTCTAGGGGAGAGGATAGAAATCAGACCATCCCAGGCTCTCTGCTGGAGGAGGAAAAGACTCAGTATCAGAGTACTTGCCAGTGGTGGCACATGTGATGGCAGTTAAAGCTTTTCAAGTAAAAGTCTGCAAAACAGGAAGCTTTGCAGATTTCTGAAAAATTTCCACATGGACCTTGTGTACTTGATCACAACTGTGTGTTCCTTCAGATTACTATAGGAGGTATGAGGAGAACAACCTTGTTTTCCTCTGTAGGAAGATGAAATTAGATTTGTTCTATGAGCTCATCTGAGAGTATATGGGACTGTGAATAATATAATCTGTTTGCACTCATTCAAGACCCTAATGAGAAGGCACCCAGAGGCATGAAATGTGTACATTTCATTCCTCAACAAAATCAAATATCCTTTCCTGATGTGACATTCTTCCCCGTGGTATTAAACCAACCATTTTAGTTGGGGTGAAAAGATTCACTTCTAGTTCTCCTTCCGCCAGAAGAAGACCTGAACTGTCACTTCTTGTTCCACAGATACTCAATTTATAGTACAGCATATACATGAAACCATGTTCTTGGGTGCACTGAGCCTCCATCCCCAGGTGACACAGTTTATACTCTCCTTGTGCAGTAACTAACATTTTTGCCGCTTGGAAATGCCCCCTCGCTCCCCCAGACATGGTCTGCTTGCAATGTTTTTGGAGACTAAGGAATGCTTTTCCATAGCCCTCATCTCTGTTTGGGCCCATCTGGGTAGCAAAAAATACATCTAAGTTTCTCTCTGTGGGTGTTGCAAAGAGCTGGCTGTTTGGAAGTTCTGGATTTACAGCTTTCCAAATTCTCCCCTCCACTCACTTTTTTTTTTTTTGTAGATTTACCTTTTTGTGGATGAACTATGTTATTCCTTTGTCTAAGGAGATCCTTGTGCTATGGACAGCAAGATAGAACTATTCCTTAAAGATCATTATTCTAGTTCTAAAAAATGTATGAACTGTTTTTATGAAGGCATAAAGGTACACGATGATCAACCATAGCATACAGGAATAGCTAAAAAAAGCTGTACAAAGTAGGAAAAAGAAGGAAGAAAAAGGAGAACTATAAAAGTTGTATTAAATATGTTTACTATACCAATATTTCATAGGTCAAAGAAGAATTGATTTCTTAGTAGTAGCATCTCACCTTTCAGCTCAGTTATTTGAGACTGAAAAATATACCTTCAGTTGATACAGGTTTGTTGGTTTTTTTTTAAATTAAAAACAAAGCAGCAGAGTTTTTAAAGCAAAACCAGTTTCTGAACAGGATAAATTAACAGAACAAGTACATTTGATATGTTCAACTCACAAATACAAAAGAAGAACAGATATTCTAAAGATAATGTCTGTTAAGAAATAAAATAAACATACTTATTCCAACCCAGTATTTCCAGATCTCTGACAAGACAGGAGTAGTATTCTGGCGGCCGTGGTATATGCAGGTCTTGTGTATTCTTTAAAGCAATTTCCTGTTTAAAAGAACATTAAAAACATCATTAAGAAAGATTTCAATATTTTTGCATCTATTTAGTCATGTGATTTTTGCAATTCATTCAAAAATATTAAGCTTATGTAAAATTAACTGTACACTGCATTTGTTTTGTTATAGCCTCCAGCTAAAGCAGACAAAGAAGCTGTTTGGTAAATTACTTCAGATACTGGTAATGAAAACATCTGCAATTTAAAAAAACCCCACAGATGTTGACAACATAGTCTTCAGATGCAAATATCAAATGTGCCTCTTTTTCAGCTAATAAATTTGAAGTCAAGCATCTTGACTGAAAGAACATTTCAAAAGAAGGTTCTATTAAGCCCACAGCTGTCTCCTGGGCTCCACAGCCACAAAAGACAACACATACATGAAATCTCCCATATTATTTTTAAGTAAGTATATACTACTTTATATAGCAATCAAAAAAAATTTTTTCAAAAAATCAATTTCTCTGTTTTAACATCATAGGATCCCAGAGAGTAAGTTTTGGTACAGACACTCATCAAGTATGTCGTAATGCCTCAAAAAGAAATTTTTATCAAAAAGCTAATGCCACGTTACAGAGAAAAACAAAACCAAACCGTATGTTCCACATTTGTGTTGTGCTACTTGTTCTTTAAAACTGTACTTAAGTTAAAATTATGCTTACAGGACAATAAATTAATGAAATTTATAATAAAATCATTAATAAAAGAAATTTAAATAAAAGAAATAGAATTAATCAGTATAACAATCATTTCTGCCCCGTTCTCCCGCAGTGACTTCTGTTGTTTTTACTATCTGCACTGAGGATCACTATTTTACTATTTTGAATGAATTATACTTTCATTGCATTCTCATTTTATAAGTGCTTGTGTAGCCAGGCAAATAGATTGGAATAACTATTGTGAAATATTCCAAAATAGCCACATGTAGACATTCTTATTCAGGCCTATTCCAAGCACCTTTGCCTGGTTTAGTGTAATCCAGCTTGGCAGG